TAAAAATAACTCAGTTGCCTGCATATTAAATATTCTGAATTTATAAAAACAAAAAGAACTGCACTATACCACAGAATAAATAATAGTACTAACTTTCTTCAAGTAAAGAGTGAATTGGCTTTCGTTTAGCTAAGGCAGTGCACTTTTTTTTTCTTTTTTTTTTATAGGATAGTGTGACAAACGAGCACACAGTCCACCTGATGGTAAGTGGTTGCTGTGGCCCATAGACATCTACATCTATCCTCAATTACGAATCAAAATGCAGATGCGTTGTCACCCGTGAGGACTAAGATGGAATGACCTCGTTTCCAGTAAAAAGGGTCTCCGGTTCTCTACACTCACCATACGAAACACAGCAGCATTAAGCTACTATTTCGCGCTGGTATTCTATGAGAGCGTGGTCCTTCCCCGGTCAAGCCGACCCATTCGTGCTACAACTATATTACTAATATAACTGCAGCATGGCTCTACCACGTATAAAGCTTAACCATATTAACCATATTCCGCTGCATAACCACTTACACTTGCTTAGGTGGGATAGTACTGAAGCTAAAATAGAATATTTAAAAATAAAAGGAAACTACGTGTGTAAGATGAGCGTTACACATGTAGTTTCTTTTTTTTAGGTGGGATAGTAGTGAAGCCAAAATAGAATATTTAAAAATAAAAGGAAACTACGTGTGTAACATGAGCGTTACACATGTAGTTTCCTTTTTTTAGGTGGGATAGTAGTGAAGCCAAAATAGAATATTTAAAAATAAAAGGAAACTACGTGTGTAACATGAGCGTTACACATGTAGTTTCCTTTTTTAGGTGGGATAGTAGTGAAGCCAAAATAGAATATTTAAAAATAAAAGGGAAACTACGTGTGTAACATGAGCGTTACACATGTAGTTTCCTTTTTTAGGTGGGATAGTACTGAAGCTAAAATAGAATATTTAAAAATAAAAGGAAACTACGTGTGTAAGATGAGCGTTACACATGTAGTTTCTTTTTTTACACTACTTAGTTCATTAATAGGTTTTATTATCCTCGAAAGTATAATATTCCATCAAATGCTTACAATATATTGTCTCTAAATACACCAAATAGAAATTTAATGAACTGCCGTGATAAACTGGTTCTTTGTAAAAAAAACAGTTCATTTATTATTACGAACGGATATATTGTAATTGTGCAGCCATTCATTCTAGCTAAGCAAACAACTCCGAATAAAGTGAGTAAACAAACATTGCAAGAAACTCGCGGCTATCGCTTGCCTTTGTGCAATACGAATGTAAAGTTATAATTAACATTTTAAAACTTTCTGTTACTACTCAGTATTCCGCTACGTAATTGTTAGTTACTACATAGAATGTTCATATATGTTCGTAACATGAGTACATTTTTCGTCTTGGTCTTGAAGAATAATCTACTTTCAGCCATTTTGTATCGTTCAAGGAGATCACAATTAAACCTTGAACATTATACAATGGATCCAAATGAAGTGCTGTTAGTTACTTTAATTTTTTTTTATAGGATAGGGTAAGGGGAGGCTGTGACACATAGACAACTATATTTTACCTCGATTAACAATCAAAACGCAGATGCGTTGTCACCCCTGAGGACTAAGATGGAATGCCTCCATACGAAACACAGTAACATTAATCTGCTATTTTACGCTGGTATTCTGTGAGAGCGTGGTTCTTCCCCGATCGAGCCGACACACTCATGCTATAACTATAATAGCTGTAGCGTGGCTCTAACACGTATAAAGATATAATAGATAAGAATATCATTGGCATTTAACTCTAGGTAATATTAAATTGTATATTGTATGCTGTCCATACTTGAATTTAGAAGCCACACACGCGGTTCATTATCTATAAAGGATAGCATAATGAACCGTGCCGCGTGTAGTGGCGATGTAAGAGTATCCACTACTCAATATCGTCTCGTGGGGTAAGTGCAGGTATAATGGTGGTGGTGGGTGGAAGCGACAGAAGGCCAACTCAAGAGATGGACGGCAGTATTCTTTTATAATAACTTTAAAAAACTGCGGTTGCTAGCTCGCCTGCCAAGCGTGGCAATTATGGAAAATATTCCCCTATCAGGCAATCTTTGGACAAGGCCAACCTTCAGTAGTGGACTTTTGATAGACTGTCACCGTAACGATTATAGGGTAACACAGCTGCAAAAAGGAAAGAAAATTGTAAGACATAATACGAGTACTAAAACTAGTAATTATACATATATAATATCGTGCCTGGTAATATGTTAACAACATTCTAAGATGCGAAGTACGTTATTTTTACGAATAATCCATCCGATTTATAAGCCTACAACTATTTGTAGTATGTGATGTATGACAACATTGTTTTTGCTTACAAACGATAATCGCGTTACTAAAATTATTTACTACTAATATTATAGGTACATTTTGATCACACCTCGTATCTTAAAATGCTAATGTTAGGAGTGGTATACGTTATCAATACTTGTGTTCGAATGGCGGATTTAAACTTAAGACTTTTAGGTTCGCGTTCGTCCTTTCCTTATCCATTGGGCTGTTATCGCACATATTACACCGTTATTGGTTACAACTTATACAGTAATATCGAATAACCTTTGTATTTATTCTTAACAATAAATTATTTTCATTTTCAAGGTAGGTTACGAAGAAAATCTTGTTTCATCTTATTACAAAAATTGGTTTATTCTTAGAGTATACATTTTAGCTTGCTTATGTTTATTCTGAGGGTTTATTGATAGTCTCAGCTTTTAAATATTGTTTAAGAAGAGTCCTACGTCCCGTAGCTGCGACGACAAACTCCATCCATACTTTACTAAAATTATTGGTATATTTTCCACGGTACTTCTTTTCGAATCAGACTCTAGTTTAAACCTGGAACTAAATATAAACTACTTTTTTAATAACGCAGTTTGTATTTAATTACAAATTCGAAGCGAAATATGCGGATCAGTCCCACAGATCACATAAAGCGATTGTTTGTTAATTTTCCGATGACGTAGCGCGATGTCAAAACATAATGTTCCTGCACATAAACAATTCGGTCGTGACCGAGCCACCCCAAAGAACACTCGCCCAAACAGGGAGAACCTTATCCCCCCCTAACTCCATGAACTGCCCCATTTTTCACGAGCGCTTAGCGTGTCGTGTGTCGGTTGCCCTCGCCAATAACCCACCCCACTTTGTTTCATATCTTTCACTGGAAATTCTATCACAGCGCTCGGTCAGCTGTTGCAGTATTTTATGTACGTAAGAGTTACTGAATCATTTTATATCAAGTGTTTTCCCGTAATTTTATTCTTAAGAAGAAAATTTAATTAAATGTTTTTATTTTACTTTTATAAAAAAAAATCGTTAGAACGTTTTGATTCTTTGGGTGAAGTGCCACTAACAATTATGGCTTTGTTTTTTTTTTAAATACATTTACAATGACCAAGTATCCAATAAAAATAACAATTTATTTTACTTAGAATTAACGGAATTTCGTTTAACTTGGAATTTTAATTTGAATCACTGTGTTCTATCATTTTCAATATTGCCCTGTTATTTTGACTGAAAATTGGTTTCGATGTAATTAAAGTAAAGATTGCTTTTGTATTAGGTATCCAATCATTATCAGACATCAATCAGTATTATAACATTACGAAGAATGGCGGCTCACTCGGACTAGTCAGCGCAATAAGCGCTTTCTAAGTGCAGCTGAGTTAGCGATAGTAGAAATACGGTGATTCAGCAATATGCGGCATGAGTCATGATTTGATGTAATTCGGACAAGAACTTCTACACTCATCCGAAATAATTGGATTACAACTTCTCGATTGAATGGTTTTATTTTAAAGGGCACTCTATGATTTAATTATTTCACATACTTAAGTTCTATTACATTTATTCATTTTTAAGATTTGTCTTGTCTAAATACTACGAACGTCTAATAAAACCGAAGACTGTCTGAAAGCCTCATTTCGTGGAAAGTTTGATATTTGTTTTTTATTTGCTTTGTACACAGGCATAAAATATATATAATATTTATCGAGTACGTATTCTTTAAACGTGGTACTAATTATAGCTTTGTTTCAATAAATGAAAATTAATTTGATAACATTATTATTTAAGTTGGTAAGAATTACTTTGCCCACATCCGTTTTTACTAGTGCGTGAGGGTAATATGGTCATCTGGATAACACTTTCCTGTAACTCAAAAACTACAGACTTGTTTGCATAGATGGCTTTGTGATACGATAGCTCTTTATCGTCAATCAAATAGTAAAAGGTCAAAAGGGCGCTGCTTTATCGACGCCATTTTGACAGTTGACATTATAGTAAATATTTTAGTGGATTTTAGTATGGTGTGGTGTAGTTAGATTTTTAAGTTGATTTTTCGAAGTGTTCCTAATTATTGCCAGTTTTTTTTTCTTAATATATTAGTTGTAGTATACAACTTTGTGTTTTTGTCTCTATCCTCCTCCTAGTTTTGGTTTTATAGGGCGGCAAAGCTTAAGGTGACCATATTCATTACGTACCTTATCAAATATTATTTTTTTTTTATATCAAAGAGTTTTTTTTTTAAATTTAGAACTGCAATGACAAATGAATTTACAGCCAAGTTTAAACAAAGAAATGTAAGAATGCATTGTTACCTCTGAGGTCAGCCTAAGTCTCAAAGCCTGTAATCGTACTGGCTCTCTAGATCTTTCAGACCGGAACACAGTGATGCAAGCATTGCTATTTAGCGAAAGAAATAGGTAAGGGGGGGGGGGAGCACCTACCTACCTACCTACCTAGACGACGGACTCCCGAACTAGAAAATGATATATATATATATATATATATGTGATGTCTAGAATTTCCAAATTCGACTCAGTCTGTTTGTTTGCAGTTTTCTTGTTCTTACTTTATAATAATTACGAGAATATGATTAAATGTTTCACAACAACTATGTAATATCAGTTTTGATAGGACTAGATAACTAAAGCTCTTATTTCTATTACAGAGAGTTGACAGGGAAAACAATAAGAGCCCAGCAACTACTGGAGCCAGGAAGAAGACAGCAGCAGTGAGAAGCAACGGTCAGATCGCGCCTGCTGAACCACCACCACGACAGCAAACAGGTACTACGTGTATCTTAATAAAATATATAAAAATATAAACTTGAATATTTAACGTTGATGCGTCTCTCCAGCTTTGGACTATTACTTTGGACTATTACTGCTTCGTAAAGAAGATAAGATATAACATATATTAACGTTATATACAGTCTATTGTAACATTTCTTAAAAAACTTAATTTTTTCAAGTATTTATCTTTATTTCTGAAGTATTTATGTTTAAACTACTACATAACCTATTGTTTTACATAAATTATTTCTTTGATTACTTATAATAAGGAAATGTCTAGAACTGCAACATTACTTATTAATAACGTATACGGAATGAGCGTTAAGTCTAACGTCTGTGTTAAACATAGAAAGCACTTAACGGAACAATCACAAAGGCTACCGAGGGATCTGTCCGAGCTGCAAGCCTTAATAGAAGCGGGTTCAGAGTATTCACGTGCACTCGGTGCGTCTGTGAACATTTGTATGGATGCACATTTATATTGAAGGATTAGTACCTACAAATTTTATTCTTTTCATTTGGATGGGTTTAAGTAAAGTTACAGCCTATATATGTCCCACTGCTGGGCACAGGCCTCTCCTCATTTCTGAGAGGGTTAAGTGACTTATCAAAACATGTATGAATTTTTTTTTGTACATGTATCAATTTATATAAACTATGTATGATAATTGATAAATAATTTCGATTAGATAGTAGCAATTTATACATTTATACCTTGTTATCGCTGTTTTTGTTCACATAAAACTGCATATCATGTATTAAAAATCCTGCATGAAAATAATAAACTTATGTGTAAATATTTAAATTTAAGTATGAGATGTCAACAGCATTTTACTGATAACAACTCAATAATATTAAAAACTACTGTTACCAAACCACCTACAAAGCATGTTAACTATGGTATCCACCATGAGACAATCTATGGCATAGGCCTATATTTCATCATCATCATCATTACAGCCCTTCACAAGTCCTCTGCTGAACATAGGCCGCCCCCAAGGTATGCCACCAAGCACGGTCCCGAGCCACCTGCATCCATCGACTTCCTGCATGTCTTACCAGGTTGTCACTCCAACTATTGGGGGGTCGCCCTACACTACGCCTACCGGTACGAAGCTGCCACTCGAGAACCTTTTCTCCCCAACGGTTGTCGGTTCTTCGAGCTATATGGCCGGCCCATTGCCACTTCAGCTTACTAATCCGTTGGGCTATGTCGGTCACGGCCTATATTTAGAAATGCATAAATCTATTTCTAAACATATTCCATTGAATGAGACTATTTATACGGTCTTGTATCGCGTCTAATTAACTTATTTTTAATTCCTGACGATTCGAGTGCTTTACAGCACCCATGGTCACGGGAGGGACGCGCCCGCACCCCCGCCCTCGATTAAATCCGTATAAATAGTTTTATTTAATAGAATATATTTAGAAATGGATTTATGCCTTTCTTAATATATTCTATAGTTTTATTCAATGTGTAGTGTTCACGTAAATATAAGAAATCATTAAACAAGTATATTCTAAATGAGATGTCTAAATCAGCTAAATGAATGAATTAAATAATTAATAAAAAGCGATTACTTAAAAATAATTTGATAGAGGGTTAATTTCAAAGTCAAAGAGTCTATGGAATTGTTTGCTGTCTTCATGTGGAATTTAGCCACTGCCAGCTCTAAAGATTTATGGAGAGCCTTAATGTCAGATTATCGTTTTGATCAAGTCTTGTCCCCCAGAACTCGCCACAATTAGTAGACTAACAGGCTCATAACTGACCTTGGCATAGACCAGGCTTCAGCTCTAATGAAGTCGGAACATTGTCCTCGGACAAGATTTGGGTAATTCGTGCCTTGTCATCAAGAGCTGTCTTGCTAGTTAGCCCATGGTATATTTTTGAAAATTATGCCACTGACAGGCTAGACACTACACGATTCAAGACATGTCTTGATAAACATTGGTCGAAGCCACTCCCTTATCCCTTACAAGAAAATGCAGCTTCGTGTCTCCTTGAGCCCCACCAAACCGTGATTGATGCGATGACTACGTTGAACTTTTCAACAAATTGCGAGGATTATTTAAAACTGTGAGCATACATTTACTTTCTACGTCTTTTTGTTTAATATAGTGCTCTTCATCCGTAAACATCCATAAATATCCAGCTGTAAATAGCACTTTCCTGACAAATCGGGAAAGCAAACGCTTTGATCGATCACTTTATTTAGTTGCTGGAGCTGATTTGAGGCTTGTGCTGAATAACGACGATAAGCTAGGTAGCTTCAGGTCGTGTTTATTAATTTCCCCCTGTCATTTCACGTGAAAATATTTTTCGTTTCGCATTTCGTTCGCGTTCACAGCACGGAGTCACTCGACGTTCAATGGTCTTAAACAGAGGAAATAACATATGCTTGATGCTTTTGAAAAGTCCTAAAAATTACTGACCTGTCCGTATCCACTTTGTCCAAAGCAATCACTGTAATTTTGTTTTCCTTAACGCTCCATTTCATTAATTAAAAAAAAGAAAGTTTTGATTTTGGTTCTATTTGCTTTTCACAATTAAAGCACTGTCATTTGCAGAAAAAGATTTTAATATATAGTTTTAGTATAAAGATTTGTTTATAGCTTAGTTCAGTTACACTGCAAATGTAATTTTAAAAAACATCTGAAATAAAAATTATTAATATCTGAAAAATTTCTTTCGTATATACAAGTTTGTCTTGTTCAATTTTCAGATAAACATCTATTTTGCAGCCCTAACGCTATCACAAGCTGGCTTTGGTCCAATACTGCATCTATAAACCGATCGCTAGGTACAATGCCTTTTGCAAGTTAAACAATGTTAAAATTTTAGTGCTTTTTTTTTTTCTTCATTTTTGTTTATGGTCGTGGGTTACTACAAAGATTTTCGTTAATCTATCGATACTTTTCAAAATACTCATCGGCATCTTTAAAACGTGAAGGATTAAGCTCGTACTATTCTGAGTAATACTCGTAGATAGACCCGTTACGACTTCCGACTCCAGCTTAGATGAATGACATTCATTAAAAATCGACTAATCTTGGTTTGTAGTTCGTAAGAAGTAACGAAGATTTTTTTTGCTCACGTTTCCTTACGTTACAAGCTAGCTTAAGCTTTTTGAATTTAAGTAATTGAAAATATTGATATAATTCTTTTTTTATTTCATAATGCTTTTAAATTCCACTTATTAGTGTTTCGGCTATATTCAAGATTATCAAAGTACGTTAAATCAGCATCGGTTTGTAAAGCCCATGATATTAAGCTTAATAAATGAAACAAAAGTGGATTTAGATACCAAAATTAGCATTGTTTGTTTTTGTTTGCCTTCAAAACACATACAACTTGCCTTATTATAAACAAAAGTACCCCGATGACTACATTTATAAATTACATACTGATGAAACATAAATAATATTTTTGATCTTATTGGCATAATAGAAAAAACTGAACTGGTTATTTGAATAAAAAATCATGAGTGCAATTAGTTTAACTAAAATTTTCGTATTTTTAAAAAATACTACAAAAGGGCTTGAAATAATAGATTTTCTCACAAAAGAAGAGAACTTGAAAAAAAAAGGAAATAAGCCGGACAAGAGACAGGACGCGAACCACGGAACTCCGATATCACGCTCGACCAACATCCCACCTGAGCTATTACGATCGTTAGTAATCTGTCAAAATTTACCTACTTATATTGTAGCAGTTTTTTTATTGCCTGAAAACACGGACAAAAGGACATTTGCCCCCGAAACTCCCTGGACACTAAATTTTATGAAAATCGTTGGAGCCGTTTCCGAGATTCCGATTATATTTATATACAAGAATTGCTCGTTAGTAAATTTTCTCAACAACAACGATATGAATTTAATATATTCAATTAATTACCTAATATTATTATTAGTATTTTGTGGGGTTTTTATATAGTTTTCTCATCCGGTTGGGCTGTATAAATATATAAATGTGATAAATTTACATAAATATCAATAAAATAAAATAAATTAATTAAAAATATGTTTCGAGTATTATTATTGTTTTACTTTTTATATTGAACGCGTCAAATTTCAACTTTATGTTCAATTTAAAAAAAAAACTGTGTCAGGGTGAAGTTATCTCCTAACCTAAACAAATGTAACAGCATTTTAACGTCAGGGGTTTGTTGAGCCCCTTCTAATAAAATAAAGGAATTCCGATCAATACTGTTTATACATATAATTTTATACCTGATTTACTTAGTCTTTCCAAGAATACGCCAAATGACGCAGTTCTTTACATTTGGATATGAGAGATTACGATTATATCTTTCTTGCCTAGAGGTCCGTGGATGAAGTATACCATCCTCTAGTCGATTTCTGTGGCCAAACAGTCTGTTCCGGTCCGAAGGGTACGGAAAACCAGTTTAATTACAGGCTTTAAGACATTCCATCTTAGTTTTCTAAGTAATATAATATGCAATACTCCTCCGTTAGTCAGCCTATTCTGACTAAAAATAAATACTTTTAAAAATAGTAGATACATATTTAATTTATATATATTATTAATAAAGCCGATATTTTAGTAATAAAGTGATGTCATTTTTGCAATTATAATTTAATGATATTTTTTATTAATTCTAGATGTGTGAATAATTTATGCTCTTGTTTTTTAGTATGTGACCGGAATATTAAACATATTAAAGCATAGCATTTGCATAATTTGTCAAACGAGTCCTTGCGCGTCTGTGCTTTCTAATAGAACACTTTTAAATTAAAACTTTCGTGTCTTTTTAATCTTATTGAATACCATTAAATATGCTAAATGAATTATTTAATGGATTTGTTGTTTAATTGTATTAAAATCTTTTGGTATTCCCATATTATCTGTACAGAATTTCAAAGCATTCCTTGCTTAAATTGGTTTGTAAGTTCGGAGAGAGTAAGTTCAAAACAAATATTGCTCGTATTGCTTGAACTTGATCGACATTGTTGCTCGTCGTGAAAAG